AAAGCAACAGGTGTTTTCGTAGTCCTTGAACCTCTTTCAACTAAGCAATTTATTTAATAAATTGGTATTATTATAATAACGCTATAACTATTTCAAGTAGGTATATTAATTTGTTAATAATTAAAATAAGTTATAATATCTTAAATGCAAACCAGTTTATGTAATTTTACGCATTAGGTATAGGCCAATTTGCCAGAACGAATAACATTGATGGTTTGAGTAAAATTAAATTATTTTATATTGTATATTGTTAAAAAAAGTTAGCTTCAGGACATAATATCCTTATTTTGATATAAATTGATAAAAAAGTACTCTTGCAACAGCTCTCCTTAAATCTATGAAGATGGCCGCAACATTATAATTTCCTTAAAGATAACACTTAATCGAAGATTGCAACATAAAACAATTTTTGCCAACACGAAATTGCCCTCTGCAACCTGCGCATTATCTCCATACTAAAATAACAGTACAAACTAATTTCTACAATTATCGTTTAATCAATTTTCCTGTTTTTGGCTCTCGGCGAAAAAACTTTTCTATGGAAATTTTGCACTCAATTTGCACTCAACGCCGCACAACCACTTTACCACTTTATCACAATTTTACAAAACATGCAATTTTTTAATTTTGCATCTCGTTATGATCGACTTTTCCGTTAGCAGTGACTTTTCGGGCAAACCGATATGGACTAAGGATTATGATTCCTTGCACAAAGCGTTCTCTCCCCCGGCACAAACGCTTTTTTCTTTCAGGGTCGGCCATTTAAAAACCAGCTTTTGTAATCATAGGGTCTGCGCCGCACGGTGGTCTGTTATTAGGGCTGTTCTTCCAACAGAAAATCGACCGATTCAAGATCATCGAACTGACTGATGGAATTCAAATTTAATATATTCGAAAATCTTGTATTTTACGTGACCATCTCGTGGAAGTTTCGTTTTAAACCTCGTTTTGAAAGCAAACAAAGCGTCTACTTACTTATATAATTTAAAATTAAATTAAATCTTGCATACCATATTAAAAATTTTCTACTTTTATTATGAAATATGTCCTTTTTAATGTGGAATTACCCAGCACCAAGTGTTACAAAATATTCTGTCACCGGTTTCCGTGTGAGAATAATTTGAACCAATCGGGTTGGTATTCCGAAATCTTTGTAGTCGTGAGTCGTACAAATCTAACTTTTGTCTACTTATTATTTATTTTTATTTCTTTAAGTAATTTTTATAAGCTTAGAAAAAGTAAAGTCTGGCTCATGTGACAAACTTTTCACTAGAGCGAAATAAGCTGTATTTCAAACTTGTTACAGAATATACTATTTAAGTGCCAAATTGTTACATAAAATAACAGAGTTGTAATAATTGTATGTATACATATATGAATCTATGAGACTATTCTATCTCAATGGTATAAATAAATATAAAGTTAATTATTAGTTAAGTTAATATTATTATAAGAATATTTTTCCATGCATATTTAGAATTTCATTAAAATTTTCAACACTGTTAATTTAAAATTATTTCTGCAAACTTTAATTATTTTTTATTGACTAAATATAGAAACTGGCGGGATATCAAAGCCTATATTAACAACCTATTTTGTATTATCTAATCTTTTTATTGTTTATTTAAAAAAAATCAATTCTTCGTTACTATAGTAGAGTTTAAAACCAATTTTTTTTTAAGGTCCCGGTAAATATTCTTTACGACTATATTCGAACGCCAGTCGCAGGTATATTTATTAAGAAACAAAATTTATGGCCTTTTACCGTTAAAAAGATCAACATCCTAATGACTTTATTACTTTTTTTAACTCACTGATTCATAGATATGCTTTATTTCTTAATTTAAACATAGGAAGGACGTAGATAAATTAACACCCCACTAAGGCAACCAAAAACTATTATTATTTTTGATTCTAGGTAATTCAATTTTTTTTACAAATATAATTATTTATTTGTTTAAAAATGGTAATTGTTATTAAATTAAAAACCTTTGGAAAAACACTTATACATAAATAATTGACTTTTTATTAATTGTGCGCAATTAAATTTAAAACAATCGATAATTAAAAATGTTTTTGTTTTGGAATTTAAATTTTAAATTCCAGTGGTACGGTCCCATAGAAAAGCGGCACCATACATAAATTAAACTTATCCATCCACGTAAAATAAACTTTTAATGAAATTAAATTTAAAATTACCATATAAAATTATCCTTGGCATTAAGTGAAAACTTAAAATTGATATAACCCGCCTCCCACAAAGATAAAATAAAACGAGCATTATTGTGGATAAATATCGCATAAAATTTTCATAATTTTCAACTTTATTAATAATTATGGCGAGTGAAACGAGCTTCAGTAGCTTTGATGCGGCTGTAATGGTCACTTAAACAAAATTATCCGATTGATATGAACAAATCGAAGTTGGGGATAATAAAATAAACGTTGAATTGGACTAGGTATCATAACGTTGTCATTACTCCGCCTTTTATTGCATAAACTGAATGAAGATTACATGATTTCCAAGTTGGCAATTATCAAATACGAGATGCGCACGTAAACAAAACGTTCCATCGTTAAATATTACGACTTTATTTGTACCTACCCAAACAATTGTTTGCCACCGATTGAACATAAATCAGGAAAGTTTGGAGGACAATAGTTTAAAAAATTAAAACCAAATAATTTAGAACTACCTAACAACTTAACATTAATATTTATGGTATTTTATCAGGCCAAAACTTGTTAACTCTAATTTATTACCGTATATTTGGGTAATTAGCACCCGCAGATTGTTTGTCGCCATAAATTTTCGGTTGCTACTTAACTTTTTATTATATGATTCTAAACGAACTATCGGGAATTGACCTAACACAAAATAAATAAAATTAAACTTTAATTACAGGATTAACCAGTTCAAATACTCCTAGAGCTATTAATCATGCTTTGCTAATATTATACCTAAGCTTCTTGCGGTCGCCTACACAAATGTAAAGCACCAAATCTAAAAGCTAGACTGAATAAAAATATGAGATATTTAATTTTAAAAGCTTTGAATGTTTCCAGTCAATAGGCCAACCTGACCTACATAATCTTTCGAAAAATATCGCAGAGGTTAACGAACATTTTTGGTGCTCGCATAATGGCAACGGGCGGAATTTACAAAGGGTGCGAATTGCTAAAAAGGTTGAGCGAAAACTCCCCTAATAGTATTTTTTAAAAAACATATCCATTAATGCTATTTCATTAAAAGAATATATATGTATATAGTGGTTTATTTTATATATTATTTTTCTGATATTCTGGTGGTTTACTTTTTAATTTTTTTATTTATTCATATAAAAAAGAATATGAAATACTGTTTATAAAATAAGGTGAGAACACATTTATTGTTGCTTTTATGACAAGAGTTCATAAATCACTCATCTTGTTATTTATTATTTTACTTTATATTAATTCAAGAATACTGTCAATGTTTTATGTACATTAATTATTTAAGATTTAAAAAAATCGCAACCTTGGAATCAACATATTTAAAATGATTCCAAAATATTCAGCGTATTTAACAATCACCTTTGGGAGTTGACTGGGCCAGAGTAATACGTCATCGCTCATCCGGACTAGTCCGGCAGAGCACACAATCCGGGAACCCCGACGACAGAGAGAAACTCTGGGACTTGCAGGTCTGCACTTCAGTTCCCATTATATGCAAAGGAATTATCATTTGAATGCCGACTCTCCTCGTCTTATTGTAATATTTATTTATTTTTATTCTTAATTACCCAATTTATTATCCTGACATTTTTACTTTATAAAAGCAAAATATTAAGGGCTTCACAACGATAATCCAGTGCAATTCAAACCAGTGCAGTTCAAACATTGAATAAAATAACTTAAATTTTAATTCATTGGTATTTTATTAAATTTTAATAGCAGCAAAAAAAAATTGTATTATAATATTCTTTGAAAAATATTTTTTTCAAAATTGAACCCTTAAGTAATCCCGATGCCAGCGCCGCGTAGCGCCAGAAAGTCAAACTATCGCCTTGGCCCTTTTGACGTTGAGGGCGCTGCCTGTGATTTCCAACTTGACAGGTTCCGGTACTAAAGTCCCATTGGACGTACCGATTTTAAAAATAGACTGGACAGAGTTTAAAATTAGCTAGCACTTAATAAATCTGTTGTTTGTGAATTATTTAGAATACGCCGTGCGAGAGTAAAATATCTAATTTAGATTTACAGAAATAAGCCATGTTTTGATGGTGTAAAGTTAATGTTTGTTGTTGTGCCGAGAATGTAAAAGAAAGGATTATTTGTCACGGATGAAAATAAAGATTTTAGCGATTTGTTGGCAATATACTATAAACAATAATAAATTTTGAATAAATGGAATAGGTACTGTAAAAAGTTGTACAAATAAAATTTAAATATATTGAATAGAAAAAATTAATATTCAAATAAAATTTTATTTAAATATTATCTGAACATAAAAATGTTGAATGGAACAATTAAAATGTTTGGAAATGGTTTATTTTTATTTTAATTTGGTGCATTTTTGGTCAATTTTTAGATAGATGATAGTGATTTGTAAATTAACGACTTTGGAACACGGAAAAAGATAGTTGCGAGTGATAAACGGTTGTTTGATGTAAAAATCAGTTTCACGGTCTGCAAAAGAGGCGCGAATTGGGCAGCGTGAATTTAGTCTAGACAAGTTTTGAAATGGGCTAGTAGAAACAGCTGATCGGTCCTCGTGTTGTACGGACAGCAGGCAGGCACAAACAAGGACCAGGAGATAATTTGAGGCGTTTGCGGGAGAGAGCGAGAATAAGCGGCTGATCGGTATGAGAGATAGAGATAAACAGGGCCACATTCAACCCCGATTTTATACGCACTTGACTCCTGTAAGGCTCGTTTCGCCTGCCGATTTGCATTTCTCTTCCACGTCCGGGTTTCGGCATGTTTACAAACACGAATGAAAATAATATGAGTTCACCAACCTGCTATTGCCATCCAGGGATAGAACGTGTGGTTCGTCTGCTGGTGGATTTGTGTTCCTACGGGCTGCGATGATGAGGAGTTGAGGGAGCACGGGTTGTTCCAGGATGACAGGGAATTTCCAGTTCTTCCTCCGGAAGCTGCTCCGGGACTGGAGGACGGATCACCACCGACGAGGCCGACCGATGAGCCGTAACCCACTCTGGAGTCCGGCGTGCAGGCCGACGGTCGCACCGGGCCAGACAAACTGTTGGACAGATTTGCTCCACCACCGGAGGTTGCACTTTGCCAAACGTCTTTGACCGCTGCTGCGGCCACCACCGAGGCATAACCGTTCTGATCGGCATTACCTTTTGAACAGTCAGGTTTCGTGTTTGAGGAACTATAGTTTATCGAGTTCTGTTGACTGTCTGAAGATGAAGAATAGAGTTTGCATGCCGCCGCCACCGAGGCGTCGTACGGAGAGTCCTGGGGAGGTCTGGCCTGGTGTAAGGAATGATGATGGTGGTGTTGGCTGGAGGCGTACGGCGACATACCCAGGCTCAGAGGAAAAGATCTGTATGCGGCGGCTGCTGCAGCGCTTTGGTCGTGGTGTCCTGTCACGGACCCCGTGCCCTGGTGGTGGTGGCCTCCGTAAAAACCACTCTGTTCGAAGTAAGAGTTCATTATTGTGGCGTTAATTTTGGCAGGCTATTCAAATATCCCTCGTGTTGAGGGATGTCCAAATTATACAGGAAACTTCACAAAAATTAACTTAATAAAAAATTGTCAAACTGTCACAAGCACAGATATTCGTCGTCTTTTTGTTTTTATTCACTCGAGTCACACAAGTAAAACAACATCATATTGCAAATTTAATGTCGATCTAAATGGATAATTAGATTGTTACGATGTTATAATAGCAGCTATAAAAGTGGGCTGTTATGATGGACCAAAAACACGACGTCCACCACCGCGAGTAGAGTAGAGAGCAATGTGTGTTCACGCAACCAGTGTACAACGCGACCGTCGAGTCCGGAATGCACAAGTTAGCTATTAAGCTCACGGATCAAAACCCACTGGATCGCCGGAGCAGACTCAGACTCCCATACCAGCCCCGTGTTCGCGCTCTCTTTCTACGCGCTCGTCCCCACTCACTCTCGCACACACGACGACCGTTCCCCTTTTTCCACAGCACGAGGCACAATACTCACTTCATTACGACCTGCTACCTGTGTTTTACTATCCACACAATTCGATATGCTCTCGCCAAATTCAACACAATTACTCTCCAAGCAAACTCTTACACAATACAAATAACCTTTTAAGGATTCAAAAAAAAGATACACAAAACAAAATCTGAAAAACTATCGAGAAAAAAATCATTTGTTTAAATAATTCTAATGTTTAACTTGGGCAAATTTGTTTTAAGCGGGAAAGAGAAGCATGTGCGTGTCGGCGGAAAGAAGAGGGCAATAACCATAATAATGGAAGGGGATCATAAACGGACCAATAGCGATGGCATTCGTCACTTTATAAGCGCCCACCGCGTTTGTTGCGCAAGGATGCCGTGGCCCCGAACTACCTCGCGTTCCCCCTTCCCCCACCATCATCCGTCTCGCTCGCACTCTTTGCGACGTGCATGCAAGTCGCGTGGCGCCCTCTAACGGTCAAGTCTTTAATCCCCAAAGCAGACTGTTTTCGGCGCTCAAACGAGCAACATCAAAGTATATTGCTACTTGAAGCACTCGTAAAAGATAAAATTCATTCAAAATAAATACTTACGCTCGTTCTTAATGGTCGTTAAGTTCTTTACAAGTTGCGAGGAACGGCGAAGCAAATGAACCAGATTTTAAATGCCCCCATGCAAAAAAGATGAGACACGTTCAGGTAAACGTTATTGGTATCGTTTTTTAAATTGTTATGAACAATATTATTTTATCTCTTTATTTTTATTGTTTGCATCTAAGATGTAAATAAGAAATAAATCTTTGAAAAGTGAAAGAATAACATTTGTCAACTATGGTGCAGATAAGGACCATGCAATTTGACATGACATTCATTGGCTGTTAAAAGATTATCACCCATCTACCTGACTCTATTCAACTACCTTGAACCAATGAAAATATCTTAAACAAAATTCACATTTGGTCCTGTGGTTAGGGTAGAAAGTAATTGCTCCTAAAAAAGTACAGCTGAAGCCTATGTATATCATAATTTGGGTTTTCAAATTTTTGATGTATTTTATTAAAAACTGTTTTTTTTTAAGAGGATGAAACACAAAAAATTTGGAAACCCAAATTACTATAAAGTCTTAACTCAGTTTCCTTTGTTTTAAATAATCTAAAACCTTTGTAAAAAAGAACAAATTTTCATAGCAACAAATAATAGTTATTTATGCCATAAGGCTGAGAAGTGAGTATTTTTGTGCTGAGCTCAAAGTTTGCGGAGCACAAAAAGTTATCGAATTTTTTTATTGATCCCAATAGGTTTTTTACAGACTATGGAGTAAAAAACTCCACCTGATTGGTCTAAATTGTTTTTACAGCCTAGGAGATAATCGAATACTTTGGTAGTGAGTGTTGACAATAATAAAGCTTAAATTATAGAACGCTTGAAGATAAATAATTGTAATCCAAAATTGCAATACAAAGTGAAACTTATAGCCACAAATTTATATCATAATTACCTCTAAAGCAGTTACCAAACAATATCCCGACATAACCTACCTAACACTATTTAAAATTCTAGATGCCAGTATAACAAGTTCTAATTATTTAAAATGTTGTAAATTGTATTGTAACTGGTTCAGTAATTATGAAATAGGTAAATCAAATTTATGTCTAAAGTAATCCTCCTCAATTTCTCAATATTGGTAATGGATAACATTTACATCATCAAACTTGCCGATTGCTTGTTAAAAATTATTAATGATGGTGTTAAATTACAAAATAGTAAATCAGGAATAAGTACCCACGTGTCAAAAACCATAAAACTGACTTAAAAGTAAAAGCCCGCAGATTTGAGGTAGTAAAATAGAAAAGCAAAAACATTTTGTTTGCCGCCCAGAGAAGTGAGTGAGTGACTTTAAGAGTGTCATTATGGGCTCGTAAAAGTACAATAAAATAACGACAGGCAGGCAGGCAGAGGCCCGCAGGCCAAAGTCATCCTTAAAGTGGACGGAAATAAGAGAGTGGAGACCGTTTTAAACGATTTCAATATTCACGGAGGTGAAGTGGTTGCAGATGATGATTTTTATTGGCATCCGAGTGGCCCGTAAAAGTCACAAACTACAACCATGGCAGAACGTATGGCGATAAAAATTCAAGGAGACAACTGGCGCGTGCCAAACACTATAAAAATTTTATGACCAAAATATATAAAACGAATTATTTGTTTTGTGTATGCAACACGATTCGACTTTTACGACTTTTTTATTGGTTGTCATAATGATTTAACAAATTATCAAGCTAATTATATATATGTATACATATAAACGTGAATTTCAAATTTAAATTTACAGACGTTGTAAAAGATTTTACGACCAACTCATTTAACTCAATAGGTTTTATTACATCAATGATTTGTTTATTTTTTTTTAATGCAAGATGTATAATATTTTAACAATATTTATAAAGTACCTAATTTAATACATTTCAGTTAAATTAAGTAGCATATTTATATACGAGGTGTGTTCAGAAAATATCGGGAATTTTCGTTTTTTGAAACAAATATTTATTTATTCGTTTACATTCATGTTGTCGCCTTCAAAATAGTCCCCATTGGATATTATGCACATGTGCCAGCTCTTCTTCCAATACTCGAAACACTTCTAAAACTCGATCTTTGGAATAGCCTTTAGTTCTTTCAGCGATGCGCTTTTAATGTCATCTATGCTTGCAAAACGACGGCCCTTTAAGGTTCCCTTTATTTTTGGGAATAGGAAAAAGTCAGACAGAGGCATGTCTGGCGAATATGGAGGCTGGGGCATCACTACAGTATTGTTTTTGGCCAAAAATGTTGTTCAAAATTTAACAATTTTAGAGCAAATTTTGCTGCCACGCGTTTCATACCCAAAACATTCGAAAAAATTTCATGAGATGAGCCAATCGATAAACCAACATCATCAGCGACTTCTCTGATGTTTTATAACCATTTCTTCCACTTTTTCCATGTTTTTATGTTCGGGGCGTTCGTCATCTTCAACGTCTTCACGGCCATCTTGGAAACTCTCATACCACTTATAAACTCTTGTATTACTTACCTCCGAACCCGCGAAATTTAACAATTCCCGTTATTTTCTGAACACACCTCGTATAATTTATATGTGATTAAATTATAAAAAACAAATTAAAACAAAAAAAGCAAAAACTTTAATTATGAAGAAATATAAGTAAAGTTTTTATTAAAAGACCCTAACCGCCAGAAGATATTATCACCTATTGCTTTTTTTGTTTTAATTTGTTTTTTTATAAATTAATCACATTTACAATGTGTATGGTCTTTTTAAAAAATCATCTCGACATGTCTGCTTACAAAAACACCCAAACAATATAAAATTTAAACATAATTTTATTTATTTTCACCTTTATAATTTTTGTGTGTACTAGAATTAGATAACTAATAATATCAGGTGTCTTGGCTTTAATTTTTTTCTTTGATTTGAATCCGGCAAAATTAGGTAAAGTTGTTTTCAAATATTTCCAAGTACCTACCTATTGTATTCCTTTTCCAATCCAAAAGTACTGAAAAAACACTTTGACATATAAATAAACCGAACTTAAAATAGTATAGAAATCGACTCTATGTTTTTAAGGTATACCTACACAAAAAGTGTCGTGTACCAGACCAAGAAAAAGCACTTTAAAATTTGAATGAGGAACTTATTTTCTAAGAAGCAAATTCCTTCAACAAATATTAGAAATATTCTCAAACACGAAAACAAAACACAAAGTGCTTAAAGTACTTTTCGCTAACGATGTTCAGAAGCGCAGTGTAACTAAATCTAACTGCTAAAATCGCCCACATCGTTGGCGAAAAATACTTAAAGTACTTTTTGTTTAGTTTTGGTGTTGGGGGATATTTCTAATATTTGCAAATAAAAACATGTTTAACATATCACCAACGTTGTCCTTTTTCAAGTAAATTCCAATTCAAATTTATCAAAATATTTTATATTATTGCTGATATTTATAAGCGAGTACATATCCTTTTTTCAAGGAAATACTTATATAGCGTATTTTATAATTTATTAAAATTTACTCGAATGGAGTTTGCTGGGTTTGATATTAACTATATGTTTTTTATAAATAAAGCTGCGTTTTTAAGAATTGTTTATTTGTATTTTATTTTTAAATTACCATATGCTTTTAATTAAGTGTTTGTAAAATTATTTTTAGGTTAGGTTCAACAAACATATGAAATTTTAGCTTCATTATTGTTCCCCGGTTAATAATAATTTGACTTTTGAACTAGTATAGTAGTCTTATAAATTTATGACTGTTATAAAATAAAAAAGTATTATTTATAACTCCATTTCTTTTGCACAAACTTCTTTTTTTATTTCAACGCTTTTTTAACACATCAGATCTTATCGATTTTAATTTTTGTTTTGTTTTAAACCTCCTGGTCGGAAATGTAACTAAAAAAAGTAGTTTAAATGTTTTTTCCTAAAATAACTGAAAATT